TTAAATGTTTTTCATTTCTACAAAATTTAAAAAAAAATTTTTTTTTAACGTTTATTTATTTTTGAGACAGAGAGAGACAGAGCATGAACAGGGGAGGGTCAGAGAAAGGGAGACACAGAATCCGAAACAGGCTCCAGGCTCTGAGCTGTCAGCCCAGAGCCCGACGCGAGGCTCGAAGTCACGGACCATGAGATCATGACCTGAGCCGAAGTCGGACGCTTAACCGACTGAGCCACCCAGGCGCCCCTCTACAATATTATTTATAAGCAAAAGTCATATTTGTGTGCTAATATGGCTGTTTTTTTAAGGGACTGGACAGACACTTGTGAGAGAAACAGGTTGTATTACAGTTCTGACACAGTTGTTCAGGTAAACAAATATAAATTTCTTGTTATTATTCACTACTTAAGACTTTAACTCATTTGTATTAATTTGCTTCTTTTTTTTTTAACCAAATAGGACAGTTCTTTCAAAATATGAGTTGAATTTGTCAGATAAAAATGTTTTCCAGAGTTATCAGTTATGGTCTTCAGTGTGTAGTACTTTATGTGTCTGTGTCAACAATCCTCAAAATGGTAATTATCTCAATATTTAAATATTAAAATAAAATAAAAACAAATGAACTGATGTTTTCCAAATATATTAAAACACAAGTGACTTTGTGTCTTCTTTCAGATGAAAATCAGATGCTTTGCTGTTCACTTTTTCCACATGCTAATGACTGGCTAATAAATTGCATCACACCTGAGGTAATTCGCCCTGTTTGCTCATTTATTGGGCTTACTCTTGCAAATAACAGTAAGTATTCATTAATGTCTAGTTACACTTGAAGAAACATATTTCAAAGCATAACAGAAACCTATTGAGTTAATTATTGAATTAATTGAATTAATGGAGTAATTTTATTATAGTAAGTTGGGTCATTTTGAATGCATTTAGACTACTGCAGATGGGAAAATCTTGAAAGGAGACATTGTTAGGAAGATGATTGGGAAACTGGAGGTAGCAGCATAGTTTTGAATCTCCCCAGATAGCCTCATAAAGCAGAACAACTAGACAGCAAAACTAAAACCCGACAGAGGGTGTTCTCTGACTAAATAGAATTAAATTATAAATGAATAAAAATCAAACATCTAGAAAAGTCCCAAATATCTGAAAATTAAACAAGTCCATGCTAAAACAAAGACCAAAAACAAGAATAACCACAAAACCATGAGTAGAAAAAAATAAATGATAAAGAAATTAGAAATGTTTTTAACTGAATGATAATGAAAACACAACATGAAAAAACTGGGTTGCTGTGGGGCACCTGGGTGGCTGAGTCGGTTAAGTGCCAACTCTTGATTTCAGCTTAGGTCATGATCTTATGGTTCATGAATTTGATCCCCACTAGTATGGATCCTCCTTGGGATTCTCTCCCTCTGTCTCTGCCTCTCTCCCACTCATGCTCGTGCACCTTCTCTCTGTCTCTTCCAAAAATAAATAAATAAACTTAAAAAAAAAAACTGGGTTGCTGCAAAAGCAGTGTTTGGAAGGAAATTTTTCGCACTATAGTTTGCATAAGGAAAGAAGAAAGGTCTCAAATCAATTTATATTTGTTTCCACCTAAGAAACTAGAAAATAAACCAAGTTTAACTCAAAGAAGGAAATAATAAAGAGAATATCAGAAACCAATGAAATAGAAAAATAACACAGCAGGGGAAAATCAGTGAAGCCAAAAGCTGATTCTTTAAAAAGATCAATAAATGGATCCTTTAGCCAGACTAACTACAAAATAAAAAAAGAAGGCCCAAATTACTAATATCATGAATAAGAAGTGACATCACTCTAGATCTTAACAGGTATTAGGATACTAAAGGAATAATAGAAACAACTTTATGCTACTAAATTTGACAACCAACAGGAACTAGACAAATTCTTTGAAAAACACCAACTCAGAAGAAATATATACCTTCCAGGGGGACCTGGGCGGCTCAGTCAGTTGAGTGTCTGTCTCTTAATTTTGGCTCAGGTCATGATCTCAGGATCTGGAGTTTGAGCCCTGTGTTGGGCTCTCTGCTGAGCCTGGGAGCCTGCTTAAGATTCTCTCTCTGCCCCTCTTCCCTGCTCATGTGCATGCACTCTCTCTCTAAAATGAAAAAGAATAGATAATTTGAATATTATTGTATGTATTAAAGAAGTTGAATATGTAGTTTAAAACCTAAAACAGGAATTTCCAGGCCCTGATGGCTTCACTGGCGAATTATACCAAACATTTAGAGAAAAAAAAAAAATCTACATTAATTGCCAGGAAATGGAAGTACAAGATATACCTCCCAACACATTTTAAAAGGCCAGAATTATTCCCACACTAGAGTTTGAAAAAGACATTACAAGAGGGGTGCCTGGGTGGCTCATTCAGTTAAGCGTCCGACTTTTGTTTTTGGCTCAGGTCATGATCTCATAGTTCATGGGATTAAGCTCCTTGTCAGGCTCTGTGCTGACAGTGAGGAGACTGCTTGGGAGTCTCTCTCCCCCTCTCTCTGCCCTTTCCCAATTGTGCACTTTATCTCTCTCAAAATAAATAAATATTAAAAAACATTTTTTTTTACATGTTTATTTTTGAGAGACTAAGAGAAAGCAAGTAGGGGAGGGGCAGAGAGAGGAGGGAGGCACGAAATCTGAAGCAGGCTCCAGGCCCTGAGCTGTCAGCACAGAGCCTGACACGGGGCTCAAACCCATGAACTGTGAGATCATGACCTGAGCTGAAGTCATACGCTTAACCAGCTGAGCCATCCAGGCACCCCAATAAACAAACTTTTTTTTAAAAAAGAAAAAGACATTACAAGAAGACTATATATGAACAAGGATGCAAACATCCTTAAGAAAATATTAACAAATCAGTGGTGCCTGGCTGGCTCTGTTGGTAGAGCATGTGACTCTTGATCTTGGGTCATGAGTTCAAACCCCATGATGGGCACAGAGCTTATTTAAAAAAAATTTTTTTTACGGACTTCAAGCTATATTACAAAGCTGTAATCATCAAGACAGTATGGTACTGGCATAAAAACAGACACTCAGATCAATGGAACAGAATAGAGTACCCAGAAATGGACCTACAAACGTATGGCCAACTGATCTTTGACAAAGCAGGAAAGAATATCCAATGGAATAAAAACAGTCTCTTCAGCAAGTGGTGCTGCGAAAACTGGACAGCAACATGCAGAAAAATGAACCTGGACCACTTTGTTATACCACACACAAAAATAAACTCAAAATGGATGGAAGATCTAAATGAAAGACAGGAAGCCATCAAAATCCTTGAGGAGAAAGCAGGCAAAAACCTCTTTGATCTTGGCCGCAGCAACTTCTTACTCAACATGTCTCCAGAGGTAAGGGAAACAAAAACAAAATTGAACTATTGGGACCTCATCAAAATAACAAGCTTCTGCACAGTGAAGGGAACAATCAGCAAAACTAAAAGGCAACCAACAGAATGGGAGAAGATATTTGCAAATGACATATCAGATAAAGGGTTAGTGTCCAAAATCTATAAAGAACTTACCAAACTCAACACCCAAAAAACAAATAATCCAGTGAAGAAATGGACAAAAGACATGAATAGACACTTCTCCAAAGAAGACATCCAGATGGCCAACTGACACATGAAAAAATGCTCAACATCATTCATCATCAGGGAGATACAAATCAAAACCACAATGAGATACCACCTCACACCTGTCAGAATGGCTAACATTAACAACTCAGGCAACCACAGATATTGGCAAGGATGCAGAGAGAGAGGATCTCTTTTGCACAGCTGTTGGGAATGCAAACTGGTGCAGCCATTCTGGAAAATGGTATGGAGGTCTCTCAAAAAATTAAGAATAGAACTACCCTATGATGCAGCAATTGCACTACTAGGTATTTATCCAAGGGACACAGGTATGCTCTTTCGAAGGGGCACATGCACCCCAATGTTGATAGCAGCATTATCAACAATAGCCAAAGTATGGAAAGAGCTCAAATGTCCATTGATGGACACATGGATAAAAAAAGATGTGGTATATATATACAATGGAGTATTACTCAGCAATCAAAATGAATGAAATCTTGCCATTTGCACCTACGTGGATGGAACTAAAGGGTATTATGCTAAGCGAAATTAGAGAAAGACAAATATCATATGACTTCACTCATATGAGGAATTTAAGGTACAAAACCGATGAACATAGGGGAAGGGAAGCAAAAATAATATAAAAACAGGGAGGGGGGATGAAGCCTAAGTGACTCTTAAATATGGAGAACAAACAGGGTTACCGGAGGGGTTGTGGGAGGGGGAGATGGGCCAAATGGGTAAGGGGCATTAAGGAATCTACTCCTGAAATCACTGTTGCACTATCTGCTAACTAACTTGGATGTAAATTTAATAAATAAATAATTTTTTAAATAAAAAAATTAAAAAAACATTGGGGTGCCTGGTTAGCTCAGTTGGTTAAGCATCCTCTTGATTTTGGCTCAGATCGTGATCTCACGGTTTGTGAGGTCAAGTCCTGCATCATGCTCTTTACTGGCAGTGCAGAATCTGCTTGGGATTTCTCTCTCTCCCTCTCTCTCTGCCCCTCCACCACTCTTTCTTTCTCAATAAATAAATAAACATTCTTTTAACATAAAAAATATTAAATCCAGTAATATATAGAAAAGGTAATATATTATGACCAAGTGGCATTTATCCTAGGAATGCAAGATTGGTTCAACATTGGAAAATTCACCATTTTCACAGGCTATGACAGAAAAGAAAAACTATATGATGATCTAAAAAGATATAAGAAAAGCTTTTACATAGTTCAGTATGTATTTATGACAAAAACTTTTGGTAAACTAGGAATAGACAGAACTTCTCCATGTGATAAAGGGCCTCTACAAAACACTACAGCTAGCGTATTTAATGGTGAAAAACTTAATCCCCTCCTCCTTCCCCACTCTGCCAAGATTGGAAAAAAAATGATAGCCACTCTCATTAGTTTAAGATTTTCCTGGGTATTTCAGCCAGTGAAATAAGGCAGGAAAGTAAAAACGCATAGAGATTGAAAAGGAAGAAGAAAATACAGTGTTTATTCATAGCTGACACGATTGTCTGAAGAATCGAAAATAAAGTTGTAGGAATGAATAAATGATTTTAGCATGGTTGTAGGATCCAAGGTCACATACAGAAATAAACTGTATTTCTAAATAGTAGCAAGGTGGCTCAGTCAGTTGAGCGTCTGAGTCTTGATCTTAGCTCAGGGCTTGATCTCAGCATTGTGAGTTCGAGCCTGAAGTTGGACTCCATGCTGGGTGTGAAGCCTACTTAAAAAAAAACAAAACAAACAAACAAACAAAAAAACTAGGGATAAATTTAATGATATCTGTGCAATGTCTATATGCTTAAAAATATGAAACTTTGCTGAGATAAAGAAAACCTAGGTTAATGGGAGATACCCTACACTCATGGATTGTAATGCTCAGTATTATTAGAATATCACTTCTGAATTTCATTTCTGGATTCAAGACATTCCCCCTCAAAATACCAGCAGGCATTGCTGTGGAAATTGGTGGACAAGCTGATTCTAAAATTTACATGGAAATGCAAAAGGGCCAGGATAGTCGAAACTTTTTGAAACAGGTCAAAATTATGGGATTTATATAACTTGATTTCAATACTTATTATGCAGTAATCAAGAAAGTGTGGCGTTGATGTAAGTGTAGACATATTAGGTCAATGCAGCAAAATGGCCCATATATAGACCCATACATAGATAGTCGTTGATTTTCTACAAAGGTGCCATAATAATTCCATGTGGGAAAAGATAATCTTTTCAACAAATGGTGCTGGAAAGAGTGGATATCCATACACAAAATATGAATCTCAACCCTAATTTTACACTGTATACAAAAATGAACCTGAAATGATCCATAGACCTAAATGTAAGAACTAAAACTTCAAAACTTCTCGACGAAAACTTAGGAGCAAATCTTCATAACTTGGGAGAAGACAAAGCTTTCTTAGAACACAGAAAGTATGAGCCACTAAAGAGAAAATGATAAATTGGACTTCACTGAAATTAAAAGCTGAAAAGGAAAGCCATAGACTGGGAGAAAATATCTGTGAAATGTACGCCTGGTAAAGAACTTACACCTAAGATATATAGAGAATTCTTACAAATCAGTAGGACAAAAAAACAACCTAATGATTAAAAAAAAGAGGCAAGATTTGGTCAGATATGTCACCAAAGGAGATATGAATATTAAATTATACATAAGCATTGAAAAAATGTTTGAAAAAATTCAGAATTATTGTTATTAGAGAAATCCAAACTAAAACCCAAAGGATACCACTACACACTCACTGCAATGGCTGAAAGGGGAAAGGCTAGTAATATTAAATGTTGATGAGGTTGTGGAGCAACTAGAACTTTCTCACATGTTGCTGGTATATTTCTGTATTCACACATTTAAAGCAAATAGTCATGTTTCACATGCAAAGGAACTTAGCTCTATAATTCCAAAAATTGGATTCTCTCCATGATGCTTTGACATTTCCTTTTTATCTAAGAGTCAACTTGGATGAATAATAATTTTAGAACCTCATTACTGTCAGCAAACTGGTATGAAATATAAGATGAAATTTGAAATATTCAGCATACAAGTGTAGACTAGGATGTTCTTGTGTTTATAAATTTTTATTACATGGGCCATAACTAGAAATCATGGTAATACAGTGCCATTTTCATTTAAGCATTTAAAAATACTTCCTAGGGGTACTTGGGTGACTCATTTGGTTAAGGGTCTGACTCTGGGTTTCAGCTCAGGTCATGATCTCACGGTTTGTGGGTTCGAGCCCCATGTCAGGTCTGTGCTGCAGGTGCAGATCCTCTTTGGGATTCTTCTCCCTCCCTCCCCCCCCCTTCCCTGTTCATGCATGCATTCTCTCTCCTTCTCCCCCCATAAAACAAATAAATATAAAAATAAAAATACTTCTTTTTTCAAGAATTTTTTTTTAATGAAAATATTTTGCAGTAAAGAAACCTGTTTTGGAGTCTCCATAATATCGAAAATGTTTGCTTATCCTTTGATAACATTTCCTAACAGTTCCTTTCCCAAATGTAGAAAATTCTGACCATGATGTTTTTTTAGATTAAGATCTTTGTGTTTTGTTGAACAATACAAAAAGTAATTTTTTTGTTTAAATCATCTTGGCTCAATTTGTAGTACTAGGGTATACTGGGAAGAAGGTTTGTGGCAGAAAATCCATGTATCCATTTGTTATAAGCCCACCGCTGGGATAGGGGCTGTAGAGACTGTTGAATACACAGACCCATGGGATACTTTCCCATCAGAATCATTTTCAAAGGGGGAACAAGACACTTCGACTTTTCAAAAATGTATTTTTCACTGAGTCTTTGCTTGGAATAGTTGTTATGACTCTCCATAGTATGTTATAATTTTATGTTCTAAGAATTAAAACAATTAGGCTTAAATAAGATGGATAAAATATGTGTTCTTTTGGAATAGTTAAATTACTTTGCCCTTTGTAGATTCGAGCAATGTAAGGAATGAGTTAAGTTGGAATTCAGAAAATAGGCAGCTTGCTAATTGCAACATCACACTAAATGAATTAATCTATTCTTCATAGCTCTATTGAAGGACTTGAGTTTACTAATGCCATTCTTGCAAGATATACCAGTTCTTGCTAAATAAGAAAGATATCTAACACAAGAGAAACACTGTACTGTGTGTGTAGTTGTTCCATGTGAAAGTGCATTTCTTACTTAAGTAAATGACCTATTTTATGATTAAAGGTAAAGATTAGATTTTTTCATTCTTTAATTTTGGGATTTTTAGTACTTGAAAAAGTCAAGTTAATGTCATATTTAGTGCAAAATAATTGAATGGAACCATACACTTGTTTGCGATATTAATAGTCTTGCTACTTTATTCCTTAAGCATTTGTTCAGAAATACTTTATATCTGTGGGTGGACTGGATGTATTGTCTCAAGTTCTTGTGCAACTGGAATCTGATTCACACAAGACTGTTTCCAGTGCTAAGCTTGCAGTGGTGGTGACAAAGACAGTGGATGCGTGTATTGCTGATAATCGTGAGTAAACATGCTTAGTAATTTTTATATAATTGCGTTTTGTTTGAATTCAACATGGTAGGTGTTGAAATGGTAGATGGAACACAAACATGGTTTGGACTTCCAGTTTCTCACATGTGGGAGGAATCTTAAAACTTATCTAGTCCAACTCCTTGTTTTCCCATGAAGGTTATGACTTCCCTAAGGGTTCAAAACTAGGACTTCCGACTTTGTCTAATGATAGAATCAAGATAAGATTCTGTTATTTCTAAACCTTTGTTTCAACAAAAGAGCAATATTAAGTTAAAAACTTTAAGTTAGAAATGGACATTTGGGAAACATAAGGAATGGAAAACCCAATTTATAGATTTTTAAAAATTATATAAAGAATTAAGTTATGCTTCTTTCTAATAAGTATGAGGTCTGACTTACCCAACCATAACTAGTGTGTGGCAGACTCAGACTTGAACCCATGGCTGCTTCTCACATGTACAGACACTGAGGAATGATAGTCTGTAAATCTCCGTAATAACCAATGCTTTTAACATTCACAAAAAACTGAAAAATAAGTAGGTGATTTTTAAAAAATCAGTTATTATTTTTTTTATTTTGACTTGTTTTATTTTTTATTTTTTTAAATATACATCCAAATTAGTTAGCATATAGTGCCACAATGATTTCAGGAGTAGATTCCTTAATGCCCCTTACCCATTTAGCCCATCCCCCCTCCCACAACCCCTCCAGTAACCCTCAGTTTGTTCTCCATATTTATGAGTCTCTTCTGTTTTGTTCCCCTCCCTGTTTTGATATTATTTTTGTTTCCCTTCCCTTATGTTCATCTGTTTTGTCTCTTAAAGTCCTCATGTGAGTGAAATCATATGATTTTTGTCTTTCTCTGACTAATTTCACTTAGCATGATGCCCTCCAGTTCCATCCACGTAGTTGCAAATGGCAACATTTCATTCTTTTTGATTGCCAAGTAATACTCCATTGTACATATATACCACATTTTCTTTATCCATTCATCCATCGATGGACATTGGGCTCTTCCCATACTTTGGCTATTGTTGATAGTGCTGCTATAAACATGGGGGTGCATGTGTCCCTTTGAAACAGCACACCTGTATCCCTTGGATATATGCCTAGTAGTGCAATTGCTGGGTCATAGGGTAGTTCTATTTTTAGTTTTTTTGAGGAAACTCCATACTGTTTTCCAGAGTGGCTGCACCAGCTTGCATTCCCAAAGATCAGCTTTTAAGGGCCTGCTATGTGCTGGGCTCTTAGTGAGCTCTAGAGACACAAAAATGATTAAGACCTAGTACCTTGAAGAATTTACAACCTTACTATTGATATCAGTATTGTTAGACACTGGGTGAACTCTGTTAAAAATGCTGTTAGGAGAAGTATAACAAAATGGCAGCTTCTTGAATTTTGTTATATCTCACTGTGACAGCTTCAGGGATGCTTCACTGTGTCATTAACATTAGAACCATGGCAGTTAATAATGTATTTCAGTTACGGGCAGGAGTTAGTTACATAGGAAGGTCTATAGTCCATCTAGATAAGAACAGGTGTATAAGGTGAGAGTAAGCATATTCAGCTTTTAGGGAGGTAGTATTATTACTTCATACTCACAGCATTATGCAGGATAATTGAGAAGAAACCATTCTTCATAAAATAGGCTTTAGTAAACTGTCCCTATCTTGGGAAGTGGGATTAATGAGGACTATGTAAGTCACCATATTATTACAATGTATTTATTTATATACACATACACATACATATTAGATATTATATGAGCTATGAATATTAGATATTATATAGTTATGAGATCATTCTCCCAGGATAAGATCTGACATATAGTATATATATATATAGTTATGAGTTTGAAGTTTATACTTTTTTCCCTCTATTTTATACTAATAGCTACTTTTGGAGTAATACTATCCAAGTATCAGATTGTTTCAAAACTTCTGACATTACTGCTTCATGAAAGTCTGGATTCAGGAGAAAAATTTAGCATCATACTTACTCTTGGTCATTGCACAGAGGATTGTGGTAAGTATTAAATTTATTCAGTGTGCTTATTACAACAGTGGAGTGAAAATCCACTTTTGTTTTTTTCCCTCATTTTCATGTGAAAGGCTTAAAAGTACTGCCTTTCTCCAAGTCATTCAGGCCCCAAGCTAGTCATTTTGCTCTTCATCCTTCTTCATCCATATTCTTCCTTATCCCTTTCTGCCCAGTTCCAATTTAGGCCCTTAGCCCCTCAACATCTTTCACCAATGTTATTGGAATAGATTTCTCCTTGTGTTCCCTCTCCCGTATCTCCATTTTTCAATCCACTCTTACACTGCTGCACAGATCCAATCCTGTTCTCCCTTACTGAAAACCTTTGAAAGTCCTATCTTTCTTTCTCTACTTATCACTCTCTTTTTTCTCCTCCTCTTCCATTTTCCTCCCTCTTTCCAATCTTCTCCTGCTCTCTCTCTGTCCATTTTCCTCTTTTTCAACCCTCTCTGCATTCCTCGCTCTCTCTCCTTGCAATCTCTTCTCTCCTCTTTGCTCCCTGCTCCACTTTTCCATTCTCCTTGCTTTGCTGTCTCTTGCTTAGGATTTACTATCTTCTACTCTCATTTTTGATGTATTTTCCAGAGGAAAATCAGTATGACCTTTTTAAAAACAATGGGCTTCCACTCATGATACAAGCCTTAACTGAATCACAGAGTGAGGAACTAAACAAAGCTGCCACTTTTGTGCTTCACAATTGCAAAAAAATTAGTAAGTATATTGTTACTTTAAACAAATACCAAAGTTTATGAAAGGGAATTTGTATCTGCTGAATGAGCCAAACCCCTTAAGGTCCCCAGGCTCTTCTTACATTTGAAAAGCAGAGTATATGATTTGGACATGACTAGAGTGTTTCATCATATTAAAAATCTATCTGGAAGAGAGCAACAGTATAGAGAACTTACTTATTTTATGCATTGTGGACAAATTTAGTTGTAGGACTTAAACTTGAGGTCTACAGGTGACTTATGGTTAAATTATAAAGTACATTTCATTTATTTTAAAAACTGAGTGCCTTTTATTTGCCAGGCACTCTGCTAGGTTTTAGGGATACAATGATTAAGAAACAACAGTCTGCACTCATAGAGCTTAGTTTAACTAGATAAACAGGTAGTCATTAATAATCTCAAAAATGAATGGTTATATATTAACCTAAGGGCTAGGAATGGATGGAGCAATAGAGCTTAGAGAGCATAGAACAAAAGACTGTGTTTTAGACTTGGAGCAGAAAAGGCTTTGGAAGAAGTGATTCTTGAGCTGAGATCTGAATATATAGCATTAACTAGGTGAAAAGAAGGGAATTTGTTATGGCAAATGTCTCAGGTATGAGCAACAGTGAGGCACAAAGACCCTGTGTTAGGAGGGAGCATGCATTGAAGGATTAATGGCCATTGAATTAGTCTTCATGGAAGAAAAATTGCTGCTGCAAAATGCAAAAAGAAAACTTAAAAGATTATAGGAAGGAACCACTCTATGAAAGCTGTTGAAAAAAAACTACTTTAAAACCAGTATCCATACTGGGTGTTCATGTATCTGGCATAACATATTTTCATGATACTCTTTCTCCTATAACTCTGCAGATTAAAGTCTAATTTATGACTGGGGCTTGGGCCTCTGCCTAGCACTGGCTTTGTGTTTATTTTCTATACCATTTAGACAGTTAATTTAGTCTAGATGGGCCAAATTTAGAGAAGGGGGTGTGGGGCATGAGGTTGTCTGTATTTAGTGTTAAAATTACATTTAAAGTGTAAAAAAAACATTTCCAGTAATGGATAAATTAACTATTTTTTCCCATATTATGAAGCTGAAAAATTATGTCTAAGTCTAGGAGAATATTCTTTTGATGAGAATGAAAAACAATTAGAAGACATAAATATGAAAGAGAAGAATCTTGAAGAGTACTGGAAGAAAGCAAAGGAAATTCTACACAGAATAGAACAGCTTGAAAGAGAAGGAAATGAGGTGGGGTTTTTTTGTTTCAAAGAATATAGAACTTTTTTCAAGGTTTTTTGTTTTGTTTTTTCAGTAGAGGTTAGAGGGTAAAATATTTTTCCTGCTAAGTTATTTTTTAAGTTTTATTGGTTTTAAATTCAAAATTAAGTAGTGATACTTGAGTAACCATCTTTGAGCACAGAAAGAAAAGATTTTTAAGAAATGGAAATGATGACTGAAAAAATAAGAGACACGGAAGATAGAGATCTAACATCTGTATAATAAGGGTTCAAGAAAGAGAAAGGATGGAGAAGTAATCTCTCTCTCTTATATATGTATATGTATGTATGTATATATACACACATATACATGTTTCTATATTTTTTTATGTATGTACAATTTGTGTCTTTGTGTGTGTGTACTTTTAAAAAATGTTTATTTTTGATGGGGCGCCTGGGTGGTTCAGTCGGTTGAGCACCCGTCTTTGTCTCAGGTCATGATCTTTTGGTTTTTGAGTTCTAGTCCCACATGTGTGAGCTCAAGCCCTGCTTTGGGCTCTGCAGTCTCTCTCCCTCTCTCTCTGCACCTCGTGAGATTCTCTCTCCCTCTCTCTCTCTACCCCTCGCTCACTCATGCTGTGTCTCTCAAAACTTTTTTTAAATGTTTATTTATTTTTGAGAGAGAGAGAGA